AAGGATTAAAAATATTTACAAATCAATCTACAAAATGAGTTATATATAAAGTTTCAAGCAACATCAAAAATAATTAAATTAATATTTACGAGCAGGCATTAATGATTTTACATTGCACACGCATGTTGTTTACTTTTAACAAGCACATTATTTTGTTGTGGTCAATGTCTCCTTAACCCGTTATGACAAAGACCCCCCCCCTCCTATTGAGTGTCATCTCCAGATTTCCTTCAATAAACCTCGAATATTCCCATCCCATCGCCCCAATAAAACTCTTAAAAATTACATTGAGTCATGCACGAAGAGTTTATTCACAGCCATAAACTCACATTCAACAAAGTCCTTCACATTCCAACAAAAGACTTATTGAGACACACACATAAAATGCACAGACATATGACTTTTCAAAGCCTTCAAGTCACAATTCTAATGTGTTTTCAAAAGCTCCTTTCCATTTCCTCATTTAAAACTCACTAGACTAGAAAACCTACACATTCTCACACCAAAGTGCATTTTTAATTCTTCCTCATTTTCCGAAAAAGAAAAAAGAAAAATAAAGTCGCACATTTTCATTAACAGCAATGCCATTTGAAACAAAAAAAAAGAAGTCGGAATTATGTCGCACTTTATAAAAGTGAGAATAATAGAGAGGTCTCTTTTAACTTCCTATTTCGATGTGCTTGAAATGCGTCTGGAGTTGAAAAATACATTACATTAAGTATTTGTGCATTGCCTTTTATTACTTATTTTTCTTCAGCATTCACTCACTCTTTCAGACATCGACAGACGTCTGTAGTGTTCAAACCGTGCTTAATGGAGTTGAAGGATTGTAAGTGCCTTTTGTATCATTTCATTTGATGTTAGCTTTTAGTGTTGGCTGTTTGTGGATCAATCTCACATTTAATTGGAAGGATTTTAATAGAGTGCATCCAGTATACCCAAAAACTTGATTTGTCATATCTATAATCGGGATCTATTTCAACTATAGCTTTAATCTTCAATAAGATTCGGATTTAATGATTAAGCATTTTTTTTAATATTAATTTTTATCTTTTAATGAAATGTCTGATTTGTGGTATAAAACATTTCAAGGATTCGAACTTACATATCAATGATTTGATAAAGTTAAGTTTTAGCTAAGGTTCACTTTTTATGCTAATTTCATTGCGACAAGACTTTAACAATTTCCATTACTTAATGGCATAGCCAGAAATCATATGACAGAGAGGTCCAGCCAATTCATATAAATATTTATGAGAAGTTTCAAAGCATCACTTTCTTGGGCCCCTCCCTACTACACACTTATACCTGATTATAGCACATAAATCCCTGCTTCAAAATTGCTTATCCCACAACCAAATCATAACGGTGTCAACATCCTCCTAATCCTATCAATCTGTACATCAACAGTAGTTTCAGTTTCATCTATTTATGTGTACATTCGTCTACAAGTGTACAAAAAGAGAGCGAAAAGGCAAAGAGAAGGAAACCGAAGCTTGAGAATTTTTACATTCAGCCTGAAAGTGACGATATTGATTCCACCATACAACACATGATGAGTAAACAACGAACGTACAAAGGCAAAAAAAAGGAAAATCAAAGAAAAGAAAGAAAATGAGAAGGCATAAAAAAATTGTGAGTATCCTAAGTGTAGAACTTTATCGATCCGTCTGTAGTGGGTGGAAGTAGGAAAAAAAATGTAAGGAGAATTCTCATTCCCAGAGCGATAAAAAAATGTTCCGCATAGTCAGTAAATGAGGAGAACAAGAAGAAGTGAGCAAGCCTAGTGCATAGTTGCGTTTACAATAATAATTATCGAAATTGCGTTAAATTTTCAACGCTATTTCGTGTTTCATGCATTCCAATAGCATGAGAGCCTATGTGTAAATTCACTTCTCGCTATATATGCCATTTGATTGAAGAGATCGAGCTGTTTGTGCACTATGGGAAAAAGGAATTGATGTGATTAAGCATAATATACATGATGGCTTGCGAGTCTTGCATAATCATAATGTGAAAATATGCGGTTTTCTCTTCATATTACATGATACTCTCGCATTGCGGATAGTGTACATATTGTATGAGTAAGCAGACCTAGAGAAAGAATTGCTGTTATTATATTATGCACCGCACATGATTCTTGGAAATGTTTAATGGTGGAAAATTTTCTGATATGGTGGGTGGAACTTGAGTGTCATTTTGTCTGCATTGAAACTTTTGGTTTGTGCATTCGGCTCTTGCAGTAAGTGGTAAAGGTTCCTAGCTTCAAGAAATAGTTTTTAGAATTTTTTTAAGACAAATTCATGTCAAAACTTACATAAAGACTGTCAAACGACATGTGTTTATGATTTTCTGGTTGGATATCAAGCCTAGAGTCATAACCTACTGTCTTTCAATAAAGATAGCTTTTTTTGGGAAACCAAAACTCCCGAAGAGTATCCCAAGAACACCACGAATCTCCAAACTATCATCAACTGCGTTCTAATCTCAAAAATCCATCACCTTCCTATATTAACTCAGTCGCATGATTGCATACACATCCACACACACAATACACACTCAATAATTTCATAAATGCCTCATTCTTTCGTTCTAATGCAGGGATGATTATACAATATGCATGAGGTCGTTAGCGATTACATGCAATTGAAGGAGAAAAAAAATTCATTAAAACTAGAATGTCGATAGAAACTTTTTATTTTTGTGTGCCTGCAATTTTCTCATCATTAAGTTGGAAAATAATAATTTTTTATTCCTATCGATGTCAAATCGTTTGGGTTGATAGACGAAAAAAAAATAGAAAGACTAAATATTGCAATTACATCAACAGAACAGTCAACTCAACTGTATGAAAACAAGAAAATGTTGAAAACAAATCCACTAAAAGCCTTTTGTTGCGAGTCAAATTCGTAGAGAATGGGGAAAAAAATCAAATGAAATATTGACAATGATTGAGTTGATGGAGATGTGTCTCGATATTTTGTGTCATTGGAAAATGAAAATTTGTAGCACATTTTGAGTAGAGAATTAGACACAAATTGTGATGTGAGTTGTGGCTGTGATTGGATTATTATTTAATAACTATCGATTTAAATCCTTTCCTTTTTTCCTGTGCTTTTGTGTGTAGTTTCCAGCTGTATACTCTTCCTGTCTATTTTGACTACTTTTTGTTGGTTTATTGGAACCATCATATCCAATAACCATATCAAATACATCATAACCTCAATTTTGAATTGACATATTTGTCTAAAAAGCATGTAGCTTGATTTACTCGGGATTTCTCTGTTATGAGCTGAATTCGAATTAGGTTATTGGATATTGTAGATCATTAAGAGGTTGAAATCAGCATGGATGTATCCATGAGGGGGATAAGTCTGCTCAAATTTCAAATTCTAGATCTTAATAATTTATTATGGGATACATTATGGAGAGCGGGAGAGCTGGAGAGGAGAAGGGGGACATTGAAAAGAAAGACAGAGGTTGAAACTTTTAGGTAGAGTCAGAATGACGCAGGAGCGTATCCAGAAAATTTTTAAGGGGGGCCCATTTTCGAAAATTAAAAAACCGTTATTTTTTATTTTCTGTTATCAGATTTTCATAGGGGGGGGGGCGGGCCCCCTATGGCCCCCCCTGGCTTCGCCCCTGGAATGACGGATAAGAATCAGATAGTCATTTTACAATAAAATGCACTAAAAGTCACTTTTCACAAAATCAACGACTACCTGAATATTCATTTAAAAAACTTTAAAACTGCTTCCTTTAAAAAATTCAACACGAAACTAATACTTGTTATTAAAAATCACAACGCAAAACAAAAAAACTGCCCATAGTAGTGCTGCGTTTTATGTCATGGTCACACATTTATTAATTTCGCATGAAAAAGTTCCCCGAAACCTTGACTTTTGGCGTTAGAAATAAAGCAATGCTTCCATGTATTTTAATTTATATTTAATTGGAAGTTGAAATTTATGGATATTGGATGTTTGTGTTAGGAATTTGTGCTCAGGGTAAGTGTAGTAAGGGTTTTTTGCGAATAGAACCTTCCACCCGAAGTACCCTTTTTGCCTTTTTCTGCTATTCGCTAGAGGCTTTAGGATTTGTTTGCCACTCTTTTGCTAAGCCACTGTCAGTTTTGCCAGTAAAAATGGATAGTAACTTAGTAAGAATAAATTAAGAACCACAACATGAGTTTAAGACTCACTATTTGATAAATTAATGGTTTATTTAATATGAAAGCTTCCAAAATCAATTACTTAACCTCAAAACTGACCAAAAATATAAATTTACCAAAAAAAATGAAAAGATTCCCATTCGAAAACCGCGCTACCTAAACATCCATACCTCAATCCATTTTTTTTTGAGTATTTCATTTTCGTGCGTTGTGCAATGATTTTTAAATGATGAGAATTGATTTGCAGCTATAACTTTATGTATATAGACTCAATACTTTTTTTTTGGTTTATATCATGAAAATGTGGTAAGTTAAAATGAATAAAAATATAAAAAAAATATATATATGATATTCGTGAATGTGTCTAGGACTATCTACAATGTACAATTTATATACAGTGAATAAAAATGATTCTTTTGCATGCACTAAAAAAATTACAAAATAGGAGGATAAAAAAAATCATGCAGCGAAAAAAGAAAACTTAAAGTTGAACACGGAAAATTTACTTTTTTGTTTGCTGTTCCGAAAACATTCAATCCAATTTTTTTAAGGTTTTTTTTTATCAAGAAAAAGCTTCCTTAACCGAAAAAAATCTCTTCCTTCTTTTTTCATTTATTTCAATTTTTTGCAATTTGGAAAAAAGAAGTAAAGATTCAGTTTAGCATGCAAGCTTTAAAATTTATGGATATTTACGTAAGTATAATATTTACTTTTCATAATACAAAAGATATCGAGTATAATAGAATATAACGATTTCATATTATTTTTTTTTTTCGTTCTTTTGTTTATAAAATTATAAAATAAATGTAAGAAAAGCTTCTGAACTTACCATATCACCATGTGAGTGTCGGTATTCCGACGATGAGCTCTCCTTATCATCCGAACGATCCCAATCTGCTTCCTTTTTTAGAGACTTGAAAAGAATTTTTCAAAGTTATGAATTGTTAGAATTAAGACAGTCAAATTTTTTTTATATAGTCAGTTTTCTAGCACCCTGGGGGTCTTTAAAGTCAAAATTCCTATTTTAGTGGTTTTATTGTGAGGAAAAAGGGGTCTGGAGTCAAATTTTCAGATGCAATTCAATTATAAATGACCCCAAATAAGAAATAAAAATACACCCCAATCTACAATTCTATTGAAAATAATTTCTAGCTCCATACAATTTTAAAGTAAGTTTCCTCCGATGCTGGGTTATAAGTCCAGAAAATCAAAGTCACTAAAGATTTATAAGTCCAGATACAAATTGCACCTGGACTTAAAAACCTCACGTGCAGTTCATAAGTCCAGGTACAAATACAGCTGGAATTATAAACTGCACGAGAGGTTTTTAAGTTACATTGAAAGAAATTGCAGAATATATATTTATGATGTAAGCATAATTGACAACGGATTATAAAAGCTCATTTTGAAAAATTTCACCGTTCTGGAGAATCGCCCAAATGTAGCAGCTCATATTTGAAATAAGTCATTCAGAAAATCCAAGATGGATGAAAATTTTTGACTTGAAAAACTTTAAAATGGTTGTTATGCCATTCATTTTATCATCTTCTATGATTCTACATACTTAAATTGACTTGAAAGACACCCAATTAACAGAAAAATGAATAATTTTAATGCAATTAATGTAATATACCAACGCTTAAGCCAAATCCGTGAGAAAATGATATTAAAATAAAAAATCAATTTTTACCTTAATTACCAATAATTTCTTTGATTAGAATGTTGTTAATACAAGTTTAATAGATTTCAAGAAAAACTGATTTAATTAAAGTTATTACTTTTTCCGAATTTTCGCTGTAAGCAAGTAAGAAAGCAAACAAGTATGCAAGTTAATCAGCAAGAAATCTCAATAGCGTGTTATCGTTAAAGAGCTTTACTGTTTTTTGGGTAAGGTTGAAACTGCCGTTGCTTCAGAAAAAGCAAAAAAACCTTTCTTTTTTACGAATTTTTGAGAATAAAAGTTTGCTGTTATTTTTATAAAATTAAATTTTGGATTACAAAATTTTTTTTAATAAAACACTATAGAGTGTTTGTTAAGCTTTAAATCTCAACCATATGCTGAGCGAAGCTTAGCTGACTCGACAAGTTTTATAAAATAAAATTTTAATTTTAAAAAAACATTTTTTAAAACGTATTAGAAAAATAAAAGCTGAAGTTTTTCGGAGACGTAAATTTACACCAGAAGAATTGATTTATCTTCTAAAACTTCCTTAAAATTTAATTTAAACAGTGATTTGGTAAACATTCAATTTTCAATTCTAAGGATGCTGAAGAAAATTCGATTTTTGTCTAAAGAATTTCTCCGTAAATAAAGCATAAAAGATATTCTTAATAAGTTATTTTCAATGATTTTAATGAAATACAACAGCTTAAAAGGATAGATAAGGTACTTTAGAAGAAAAAAAATGAGAGAAAAGTGAATTCTTTGTGTCAAGTTTTTAAAAGTTCATGTGTAGAATTGCTTTAAAGGAAAAAAATTGAAATAGTTTCACAAATAGTTTTCAAGGATTATAAGTCCAGAAAAATGCACCTGAATTTATAATCGCACTTTGAGATTATAATTAAAATTTATAAATTTTCTGGAATTATAAACCACACTTAAGGTTTATAAGTCCAGATATAAAATGTACCTGGACTTAAAAACCTCACGTGCAGTTCATAAGTCCAGGTACAAATACAGCTGGAATTATAAACTGCACGAGCAGTTCATAAGTCCAGGTACAAATACAGCTGGAATTATAAACTGCACGTGAGGTTTTTAAGTCCAGGTGCAATTTGTATCTGGACTTATAAACCTTTATTGACTTTGATTTTCTGGACTTATAATTTTCTGTGCACGATTTTTGTATCTGGACTTATAATCTCTGGACTTATAACCCAGCATCGTTTCCTCCCATCAAACCCCAAAAATAATCAAGAAATTCTCACCAGTGGCGCATGTTGCATAGGTCCAATCCCAGATGGTCCCGGTAAATCACTACTAAGTGGACTCTGTTGTCGCGGACCACCAGCATTCGACGAGTTTCCCAATAAATTACTTGAATATCGAGATGATTGCATATCGGCTAATGATGATGTAGAATTAACAGACGATGATATTGAATTTTGTAGTAATGATGAATTGAGAGTCATATTGAGACCTAATAAATGTTTAAGAGTATATGCATTTATAGCTGTACATTTGCGGGCGCTATAATATTCCTTTATCTTACCAACTTCATTTTTCATTTGAATATTTTCATCGTCATCATCATCATCTTCCATTGACTCATCATTCCGATGCTGATGATGCGTACGATGATCATTAAATGTCGGCTCTTCTTTGATAATTGAATCTATATGATGCGAGCTACTGCCCGTTATAGATGTCGTAGTTGCCGATGCTGATGCGCTTATTGTTAGTAATTTCTTTTGATATATTGACGACAGAGATGATCCGGGAGATGAGGGAACACGAGATGGAGGAGATGGGCTACATATATTATTATCAAGTCGCTGCTGTTTACTTGACAACTCGAGAATTTCATTCTTTACGGATGATGATGGCGCAGCTGATGGTGTTGTTGGCGTATGCAATCGAAGACGCTCTGAATCACGATCTCGTTCCGGCTCTTTTGATGCTGTACTTTGATTGGTCATTTCTGCTAATCCCTTAACCTATTATTACAAATTTACAATGTCATTACTTTGCATCTCTTAATGGATATGCTATTATTTCTCATCTTACTTTTAATGATTCAGCCGTTTTCAGTAACGCTGATAATTGACAATATTCTACGTTCACTTCACCTTTATACATGAATTCAATTAATGTTCGCAATTCAGCAAATCGAACGTCTTTAAGTATAACAATTGGATGTTTGGCGGGGTGATCCAGAAAAAGGCTTTGAAAGTATGATGAACAGGCTGAAAGAACAACCTGAAAGTGAACAAGAAAAAGAGAAAGAGAAAATAAATTATTTAATTAAGAAAAAATAGCAGCAATTAAGTAATTAATATAAAATAATGTAAAGTGTTACAATTCCTATGCAATTTTTATTTTCTTATTATTTATCATTCGTCATCTTGATGCTCATAATTCATTGCAAGTACAAAAGAGGAATTTTATTAGACTGAGCAAGTTTGATGGGAAAATGTGATGAGATGAATTGACCATTTTGTCTGCTTTGCATTCTTATATTAATTAATGGAGTATTAGATAACTGGAGACAAGATTTTGTGTTAAACACTAAAAGAATAGCTAATTCTTCTCTTCTAAATAATAATTTGGCTAATGAGGGCTTGCTAGGTCACTCCAAGACTAACAGTAGAATATAAAACCACTTGATTGTACGACATTAGTGCCTGTAGTCCACAAAAAGAGGCGTTGAGCTACATTTTCAAAGCATATGGTCCGAAAATGTCACACTTTCATCATAGGTATCGAACCTATGACGCTGAGTCGATACTGTAAGACTTTGGTATGGAAGTACTCAGCCATTTTGCCACCGAGCAACTTAATATTGGCTAATATCGGATAATGATCGGTTCACGTGCAATACTTCCAGAGCAGCAAGTGAGCCTGACACTGCAGTTATATTCAATTTTGGTCGGAGTTCTGATTATGTATTTTCTACATCAAATGGACATCAAACATTGAAGAAGCTGAGTTTCATCAACAAACCTAAGGCACCACATTAAGTAAGTCCATTAAGATGCGATATTTCAGAACATTTTGGAAACAATTTGACAATTCATCTTGAGGCATAAAATAACGCATTTTCACTTCAAAGAGAGCCATCAAAGTAATTTGCAGTAGCCCAAGGAACCTCATCATTTACACACATGCCTTCCTTACTTGCCAATCAATTCACAAAGAATTTTATTTTCTTTTGTCCTCTTCTTCACGATTTTTTTTAATTCTCATTCTTTAGTGCCATTAAAACATTTTGTTTGAAATATTTCTCATTCTCTGCTACATTTATGTGTACATATCATTTTATATGCGATGGCTACTGTTTATAATAATCATCATCATTACTTCTTCATTTCTCTTCTTTCCTCCGAGGGAAGTTTTCAATTAAGGAAATTTATAATTATCATACAGCAGAAATTATATTCATATTTTTTTAATATCAGAAATAAATCATTTTATGTTTGTTTTTTTAGTGGTCAGGTAAAGAAGTTTGTAAGAATAAATACCTCATTTTTTTATTGCTGTTGCACTTTCCTCTGTGTTTTGCATAAATTGTGCATTTATAAAAGTTCTTAATTTGATTCATAAAGTGATTATAATTATGAAAACAATATGTGCTTAATGTTAATTGAGGTGAAGTTAGGCGAAAAATTGAAAATTAAAATAAAAACTTTTTAATTGCTGTTCTTTGAGGCTTTGCGAGTCAAGTTTGAAGAGGGGAAATTTTAATTGAATTTTGTGTAATTTTTTATGCGTCAGAGAAGATGAAAAATTCTACAATTTCATATAAAATCCAGGGGGGGGGGGGGTACTCCACAAACGAAATTGAAAAAGTCAAATTTCGAGAAACTGAAGCATCCAAGGAAAAAATTTTAGATGTCAAAGGTCTTAAATCATGATTCTCATCAGTTCCAATCAAACTTTTGGTCATAAACTGCATCGGCAGGAAGTATTGCGAAAATTTCATTCAATACAAAGTGGAGTACTTGGAAATTTCATCAGAGTAAACATTTTTGGGTTTTTTTTTCTTAGCAATTTTTGTTCTGTACCCCCCCCCCCCCCCCCTGATAAAATCCATAAAAAATTGACTTCAAACTAAAAACTAAAGTTCTCAGTTAAGCAACAAATCCTATCTCAACAACAACAAAACACCTTCATTACATCACCACCTGCAAAAGATCAAACTTAATCAGCTTTTGAGGTTTTGATGTTCATTCTATGATTTATGATAAAATTTTCTAATAAAATATTTAATTTCCCATAAAACCTCACTGACTGCATCGTAAGCCATGTCTGGGATTTACATTGAAGTATGATGACTCAGAGAATTTTACTGCTAAGTGCAAAATTTTACTGTTCTGTAAACAGTGGCATCACATGTGACATTCGATTAGTACTTTTGATGGGTAAGGTGTTAATTGAGAACTGACAATAAAACGTGGGTTTGACACGTGTTTGATTGGTGTCTTGTGAGGTTAAGCAGGTCGGTTTTTTATGGATTTAATTAGGATGTGATTTAAATTGCATGTTGCATAAACTTCAACAGAAGAAATCTATGAATCTGTGGTGTGGAAATGAATTTCTATTTTTGGTGACTTCCTTCCTTCATCCTTGCAATGCTAAGGCTTTTTACTTCTCAACAAATCATTGAATCTTACTAAATTAATTTTTAAGGATTCAATATTCAATAAAGTCACTTATAACCAGCAATGTGCAGCAAATGAACCACAAAACACAATCTCTTGAGAAATTATTAAATAATTATTTTTTAAGTTAAGCTTATAAGCTTCCACTCTTGAAATCTTCTGTCGTTATTAAGTCATTAAAGAGAAAAGACAATAAAAACAGAATTAAAAGCTACTTTTTTCTGCTTCTGTTTTAGTTCATCGTTATTTTAATTTTTTATTGTCAATTAAATCTCATGGGTCATCAACAATCATGAAAGAGAGAATTAAGTTGATTTAAAGCAATAAGCCATCAATCCATCTAATGTCAAGATTTTTTTTTCTCTCTCTGTTAATGTACTCGTCACAAAAGTCATTTAAATGAATGTGTTTTTCTTATAAGTCTGACTTTGTAGCTTAGTTTGAGGAGATTTGATTGAGATTTTCGTTCATTTTGTCGGATTTATCGGATGGTTGGTGATTTAATTGGATTTGAGTGAAATAGTCCAGGCTCGAAAAATAGACGGTATTTTAAAGACGGTATTTATCGGTATTTAATATAAAGAGGCGGTATTTGGGGGTATTTGGCGATAATTGAAGGTATTTAGCGGTATTTGGGGTTATTTGGAGGTATTTGTATGGAATTGGGGGTATTTGGCGGGATACCACTTAGTTTTCGAGCCTGGGAAATAGCTGCAGTATAAAGAAGTTAATAGAGTGCAATAAACCAAAGCGCAATTCATTTATGATGTATAATATTTACGAGGGAGGGGGTCTTGAATCATAACAGTTCAAACTAAGGAAATTTAATTCTCAGATTGGTTTCTAAGGTGGAAAACAGATATTAAAGGCTGTAGCTAGTTAAAAATGCAGGAAGAGGGGTATGTTGAGTATAAAACTTAAAACTTTACAACTTATTTAAATTCAGCATCTCTATTAGAACAATGGCTAGGAGCACCCCTATTTAGTAGCTATTTCTTATAAGCTTGACACAAAATTGTTACCATCTACTATGGATAGCTTCAATCGAGTTCTTACACACATTGTAATTTAAATATTCCATAAAATCCAAAAAAAGATTCTCAAGAAAGCGCTCCAATTTTTCAAATCCTCATTCACATCAGCTCATTTGCCATTCAAAAAAATAAGTCCATGAATGAAAAAAAAATGTAAAATGGTATTAAGCTATTTTATAATGCACATTTTAGAAGAAACTAAAGAGAACAACAACAACAAAAAAATAATCTAAAAAGAAAAGACATGAAAAATAGTTTATCACGATTAACCCTGGGGGCCAAGACTTCTTCTCATCCTTCATTATAAACATTAATGTAGAGTACGGTATTACATATATGGAGGTTACTCCCATGCATTTTGCACATTATATCTTAAAAAAATGTTTATATTCCATACAAATACATTTGTGACGGTAGAAATCTCGTTATCTTTATTTCACATATAGCAAGGAGAAAGATCTCTCTGTTATTTTTATTTTGTATGCAACAGTAACAACATCCATAAATCCAGTAGGTGAAAATCATTTATGCTAATCTAGTTACGTTAATTATAATTAACATGGCAAAATGTGTTGATGCTATATTTTCAATTCTACCGTGAATAATTTAACTGGGAGGCAAAAATGGAGATGCATTAAATGAAAGGCAATATATACAAAGTACTTTGGTATGTAAAAGTAAGAGAGCTGAAGAAGGAAAAAAAATTGAAAGCAGGCATAATGTCAAAAGTTCAATTTCAGGTGCATTTTAAAGCGAATAATTATCTTCATTCTTCTTCAATTTTTTTTCCTGCTGTTTTGTTTTATTTTTATAAAAAAAAAATAGCCAGGCATTAAAATAAGAAAAAAAAAATCATTTTATGGATGAGTTAATGCTAAAATATCTCTTCAACTTTAACAATGTTGTAAAAGCATTGTAAAAATGGTCGATAAATGTCAAAATTCTCGATTACCGAGTTAAGTGTTCGTTAATCAAGAAATCATGTAAGATTTATGAAATAGAGAAGGAGAGAGTTGAGCATCGGAAGGCAAAAAACTTATTTTGAATCAATTTTTTTGCGGTTTTGTATCCGAGGAGTTAAGAATCGGTCAGATTGGATATTGAAGACATTAAAACAAGTGAATTAAACTCTAGCAGATATTGGAAATTTTATTTCTAGTATTGATTTTGGCATCACTTTATTTTGGATTGGTTGTCATTTTTTTAATGATTTTTGTGGCATAAGCCTTTGTCATTTTCTTACTATTTTTGCCTCTTTTTAATGTAACATTTAGCCCCCTTTGTTAACCTTACTAGAAGTCATTTTGTAACCTTACAAAAAGACCTTTTTATAACTTTAATTGTAGCTACCCCGAATACGCACAAGTCAGTTAATCGATCAAAAATCTGGCACCAAGCTAGTATGACTCTGGCATGGTGCTGTATTTAAATCGAAGCCAGTACCCTGCAAGAGTCATGCCGGCTTGTCACCTGATTGTAATTCGATTAACCTACTTATGCTATTCGAGCATTAATAAAACTTACTTGTAGACCCCTTTAAAATTTTATTTGTGAAAAATCACAA